GGGGAAACGCCCAACTTTTTGAGGCCCCCCTCTCCCGACGGCCCCTTTCGGCCCGAGGGCGCCTTCCAGTTTGTTTCCAACGCGCTGCGCATCCACGGCGACCGCGACGACAAGGATGACTGGGTCGTCGTCGAGAGCGTGCCGTTTGTGCTGAAATACCTCAGCAGCAAGTGCAAGCGCGTTCTGCTCGAGGCGGATGCGTAAGGGCAAGGCAGAGGAAAAGGAGGTTGCGCTTTGTATCCTCATGATCATAAATGTCTAATGTTAAGAGTGATCCCTGTCTGGATGGAACGTGAATCGTCTATGGGGTGCTCCGTCCTACTGCTCATCGTCTGTGTTGTCCATGCGGAGTTGACAGACACGACTGCTTCTTCCGATCGATTCATCATCATCTACGTCTGTCAACAGTCGCCTCGACCCCGAATGTGCATCTATATTTGCACATCTTGATGGACACCGAGCACTTACTGCCCCTCGACCCTCGCGTAGAACGCCTTCAGCGCCTCTTCAATGAGCGCCTTGACCCTCGCGGCGTCGAGCTTTTCCTTGCGGTCAAATGTGTAGAGCCCATTCGTCTCCTGCTCAATGTCAGCGAGCTGTGTGTACACAAACGCGCAGCAGTGGCCCCCTTCGACCACGCCCCGCACGAGCCTCTCAATTCTCTTGAGCAAGTCCTCCGAATCGGCCGCCGTCGTGTACCCCCAGTCCCTGTCGTCGCCCTCCTTGCCCTTGGCCGCCGCAATGTTGACGCCGCCAAACTCGGTGCACATGACGGGCGCACCCTGCTTGTGTTGGGAGCCGGCGTCACCGGCGACGGCCGGCACAAACATGTCGCGCCCGGCCTTGGTGTCGAGGATCTTGTCCATGGTCGCGCAATTCGCGGCGAGCTGCGGCCCGTCGGCGTAGTCGTGAAAGGTCGTGAGATCCGTCATGACGTGCTCCCAGCCGCAGTTATCGTTGATGCTTCTCGTCGGGTCCAGCGTCTTGGTGAGGTAGTACAGCGAGCGGATGTGGTCCCGCTGCTCCGTGCTGTCCTTGAGCGACGGGTATCCCCAGCTCTCGTTGACGGGCGTCCACGTCACGACGCAAGGATGGTTGACCGCCAGCCGCACGCTCGCGGCCCACTCTTCGTCGAACCGTTCCATGTACGCAGCGCTGAACTGGTAGGCATTGGCCCATCTCGCCCCAGACCAGGTAGCCCAGGCGATCGGCCCAGTAGTAGAAGACGGGGTCCTCGACCTTTTGGTGCTTGCGACACCCGTTGAGCCCCATGCGCTTCGCCAGCAAGATGTCCTCCTTGAGGCTCTCCTGTGAAGGCGGCGTCATGAGCGTCTCGGGCCAGTAGCCCTGGTCGAGACACAGCGCCTGGAAGTACGGCCGTCCGTTGAGCCGCCAGTGGCCGTCGTTCTGTGCCCACGCGATGGACCGCATGCCCGTCGTGGTGGCGACTTCGTCGAGAACCGCACCGGCAGAGTCGTACAGGCGGAGTTTGAGGTCGTAGAGGGAAGGGTGCTCCGCGACCAGAGAGCCGAGGCCCTCGCGCCAGGCAGTACCATCCTCGAAGGGCGGCCCCAACAAGGAAAAGCGGGCCGGCAGTTGCTTGCGTTTCGCCTCTGACAGACGAAGGTCCAGCTCGACAGCGACGGCATTCGACTCCTTCGAAAGGGCCCTGCGCTCTGACGTCGCAACAGGCACACCGGCAAGACTGGCCTCCATCTCGACCTCGAGCGCCTGCCCGACACGACGACCGAGGACCGTCACATTGCTCCGCAGCGTCCCCGTCTCAATGTCATTCGACCGAATCACAGTCCCAGCACTGCTGTCAGCAATGCGCGCCGGCGGCACAACCTCTACCCAGACAGACTGCCAGATGCCCCCGGAAGGCGTGTAGAAGATGCTCTCCGGCTTGGGGCCCCAATACTGCTTGCCACGCGGCTGCGTCAGGTCGTATGCCGAGTCAAACACGCGGACCGTAAGCCGGCGAGGGCCGCCCTCCCGCAGCGCGTCCGAGACATCCAGCGCAAAGGGCACATGTCCGCCGCGGTGGCCGCCGACAAAGTGGCCGTCAATCCACACGGTGGCCTCGTAGTCCACGGCGCCGAACCGCAGCAGGACCCTCTGGCCCGCGGCCCGGTCTTCGGCCGTGCGCGGGTCGGCGACGGCGCGCTCGTACCACAGCACCTCGTGAACGCCCCTGTCGTTGATGCCCGACGCCGGCGTCTGGAAGGCAAAGGGCACGGTGATGGTGCGCTTCTCGTGCGTCTGGGCGTCGGCGCGGGCGAAGACGTTGTTGGCCAGCAGGTCCTGGGTGCCGGCGGCGATGCGTTGGGTGATGGAGTCGCCCTCGGCCGCCGTCGCCGATTTGGTCTGGGCCGCGGCGGCCGGGGCGCTCAGCGCGACGGACGCAGGCAGACCGGTCTTGTGCCATGTCTGGGCGAGGCCGACGTCGTCATCGTCAAAGAGGAACGACCATGGTCCGTTGAGGGACTGCCACCGGAGGTTGGGACGGTGGTGATCGGGGCGGGGGTAGGGGGTTGCGTCTGCCATCGTGTACGGGCGGGCGGGGTGTTTTGTCTTCGGAGGGGGATGAGGTGAGATGAGTGGGTCGACAAGAGTTGATGTCGCGCTGGAGATGCAGATGAAATACAAGGAGAGTCTCGACAGCCAGGTGACTTGCAAGATGAAGCTCGTCTTCGTTGTGCTTTTGTTCAGAGGTGGTGGATTGCTGTGATCACGTGGAGAAGTGAGGGGCAATGCAATGGGAAACAAGGCAGTCGCAACCGCCATGGAGGGGGTTGTCGATCCTTCCTCAGCGAAACTCCAGCGACGTTCCATCAGAATCCATTGCGCTGCTGAGATCCAGTAAAGACCCAGTCAAAATGATGGGTCGCCTTGGCCCTGTTCCTATCTCAATGCGACCTGGCTCCAGCTTCTCGTAGGACGTACACTCAGTCAATCATTGGGACAAACAACCCTGACAGCGCATGTTTTCAGTTGGGCATCTTCGGTCGTCAACATCATCATCTCTCATTCGCCATGCCTATGCTACACCAAACGACAACGCCCATGCAACACCAACGACAACGCCCTATGCTACACCTAGATGCTGTGGCTTCTCTGACGCCCCTCTCCGCCTCGGGCCACCTCACTCACAGATCGTGACCGCAGCCGAGATGCCTCTCGCCGAGCGCCTCGAGCTCGGCAATGTCAATGACCTCGGGCCCGACGTGCGCGCGCGGAGGTCGTTGAGCATGGTGGCGTTGACGG